TCAGAATGCTGCTAAAGCTATACATCTCAGTTTGAGGGGGAAATTAACTTAAAAATACATTTTCAAAAAGTCGTAAGATAAATATCATAAATAGAGTATGATTCCAAATTTGCTTTTTTAAAAAAAAAATGTAGTTAGAGGAAAAGGCTGGAAGGATATTCACCAAACCTTTAATAAATGTTACCTTGAAGCATTGGTGTTAAGGATGATTTTAATGTTCCTATCAACATGAAACATGGTAAAGTGTCATCATCATCCTTTTCTGAGGCCGTATGACATGCCAAACCCTCCACTGGGTGCTTTACACACATCGTAACATGCACCGTCCCAGCAGCCCGCGGAGGTAGGTGGTAGGTGTTAACCCATTTCCCAGGGAAGGAACTGCAGACTGAGAGACACAGCTCCTTGCTCGAACCCAGCTGGGGCCTGCTAAGTGACAGCCTCGTCAGACAGACATGGAGCTTGCTCTCCTCTCTAGCAAGGAGGGGTTTTTTAATTAATCAGAAATAATCCATTATAATGTCTTCCAAAAGGGCAGCCAGTGGGAGAAGAACTCCAGGGGGCAATCACACACAGTCCTCCATGGGGAGCAGGGGTGCCCCAGAACCTCAGCTTGTCCCCCTCCAGAGTAACCCAGTGTGGCCAGCGCAGGGGGAGGGGGGAGGGAAGTCCCGTCGGTCACTTCCCAAAGTCTGAGGCAGTCAGAGGAAGAAAAAGAGGAAGATGCTAACAAGCCACAGTCTGGGTGAGTCTGGGAAGAGAATGGAGAATAAGGAACTTAGAGAGCAACAGTCTGAGCTGCAGATGGGGAGAAATTGCCCAGGAGGATGTTTAAAAATGTCAGGCTGCCCTGCAGTATGCAATTACTTACTAACTACCGCTGACTTGTGGACTGTGTGTCTCTGAAAATGGTGCCACATGAAGAATAAGTCACGTGCAGCATGGATGGACCCAGAGGGTATCATGCTAAGTGACATGTCAGACAGAGAAAGACAAGTACCATGTGATTACACTTATATGTGGAATCTAAGGAACAAAATAAACAAGCAAAACTGAAACAGACTCATAGATGCAGAACACAGACCAATGGTTGACAGAGAGAGGGGGTTGGGGGGGCTGGGTAAAAAAGGTGAAGGGATTAAGAAGTACAAACTGGTAGTTAGAAAATACTTACAGGAATGTAAAGTATAACGCAGGGAATTTAGTTAACAATTAATAACTATGTATGGTGCCAGCTGGGTACTGGAAACATCAGGGAAACACTTTGTAAAGTGCATGATTATCTAACTACTATGCTGTTCACCCGAAACTAATACAAACTAATATTGAATGTCAACTGTCTTTGAAAAATTAAATTAAAAAATAAGTCAAGTGGAGCCCTGAAATTTGTGTTATATTTATACTTATATACTTGTCATTTCAAAAAAAAGTTTGCAGTGAGCATGTGATTCATGTTATAATGAGGAAAACACACATACCAATCTTGTAGGTGTCTTTGAATAATTGTTTTTTAAGATGGAGAATGGTTTGAGGAGCAGCTACAAACTTCCTTCGCCAGGAACCCACTGACATTGCTTGTGTTCTGTCCTTCTAGGGTAGTAGGGGCCAAAGATGCATCCCCAACACCCAAGGGGCTTTTGTAGACTGGAGGAGGCACCGGGCTCACGCTCCACCCAGAGCTGAGTGTCCTGGAGAGAGAGGCGGCACTAACATCATTCCAACTCCATTTAGTAACTTTTTATCACTTTGCCTGGAACAGTGCCCAGTCAGAGGACAGGGCTCCGAGGCGAGAAGGGCACTTCCATGCTGCCCAGTCTACATATTGCCAGTCTCCGGCGGTGGACTGAGAATGGCATGAGGGCAAGATTTCCATCTACTTTGCTCATGGCTTACCCTGAGCACCTGGCGCCATGCCTGGCCCTAGGTGTTCGGTAAGTGTGTGCTGAGGAGTGAAATAAGTCCAACATCCCGGAAAATGCATCACCTCTTCCCTTGAAAGCCCTTGCGTTTGTCTTCGGCATTCTCTCCTTTCCACTGTAAATCTATAGTAACCCTGGCTCAGAAACTCCGTGAAAAATTTAGAGTTGGCCAGGAAAGAAAGCCAATGCAATAATGTTATAAAAGGGTATAATAAGCAATGAAATATTGGCTCTCCTAATATTTTGTCCTTTATTCATTTATATTTTCCCAACACATACCATATGCCAGACACTGTGCTAGGGTTCTTAACCTGGCCGTGATCAAGGGAGTAAACAGAGCATTCCTAGAATTAATCTTAATCCACTAAGAATAACAATTTTGTGCTGTGTTCCAGGCATAGCTGCACTTTCCCTATGTGACTTGGTGTACAGGCAGCACTGAGTTAAGTTCCAGACGTTCTGCAGATGTGCAAGCTGAGCCTCAGAAAGGTGAAGCCATTTGCTCATGTCCCATGGCTGGTGGAAAAAAACAGGCTTAGGGTCCTGCTGTCTGACACCTGTGCTCACGCTTGAATGACTTCCAGGGAGCTTCCTGAAAGGTGATCCTGCGATCACTGGCTCGAATCACGGCATCACCGGGGATGCAGGGTAAACATGCAGACTCCGTGCCTCTGGATGGGGAGCCTGGACACCCACATCCTGTAACCACTAACCGGGCATTCACATGTGCACTAATGCTTGTAAAGCAGAGCACACACATGTGCACACGCTCCTTGTGAGTCTGCAAACCTCTACCACCGCCCTCCTACATTCCCCCTCCATGCCTGCCCACCCATCAACAGAATGGAATTGGAATGTGAAGAGAGGAAAGGAATGGAGAGAAGGAGGGAGGGAGGAAAGGAGGGAGGGAGGAGGGCAGAGAAGAAAGGGAGGAAGAAACGTTCCTAATTGAGCTGTTTCAGTTCAGGGCACGGGGAGCCTGAGTCCTCTGCATCTCTGTTCTTGGACCCGCAGCAGCAGGCTCCCCACAGCTGTGGAAGCAACTGCTGATGGCTTGATGACTGTCCCTAGGAGGCCCTCTGTGGAGGTGATGGCTGCCCAGATGAAGCAGTCAGCCGCTGGGAAGGGCAGTGGGTGAAATGTAGCTGCACCTGAATGTTTATCCCTCCCCAGAGAAGGACGGTGCTGCACTGTGTCCCCTCCGAGTGGGTGGAGTCCGTATCCAGCTGCATACTGGGAAGATTCAGCCAACAGGACAAGAGGCTGGAAGGAGACACAGAGACAGGAATCCTGGCTCCAAGCTGCCTACACGATACTAGAATAATGAAGGCACCTCCACGCCGCAGGAGGTGGTGTGAGGACAGGATTGGCCAGTCCACACGGGGCATCCCCTGCTGGTTCTCACCAGCCAATCACATGGCCACTCTGAGTCTCAGTTTCCTTGTGCATAAAATAAATAATGATTACTATTAGATGGCTATTAATATTATCTGTGCCTTATTGAACACTTTCTGTGTGTCAGGCACTGCCCTGACTGAGGCCATCAATCTCCATAACAAATATCTATGAAGTCATTTTTGTCCCCATTAAATAGAAGAAGAACATGAGTCAGAGAAGTTAAGAAAGGTGCCTGGTTCCCAGCAGGTAACCAGTGAGACCTGATTTTATCACAGGCCTGTCTAACCCTACAACCTGTCCCTTAATAACCACTGACTCCTTCTCCAATGTTCCTTCCACTTCTGGTTCCCATGACTATGTGCCTGGAACATGAGATATTCATGGTTACAAAGAAAAGGGGCAACACTCTGGCTCCCAGCCCCGCATCTGAGCCTTGATGTGAAAATGTCAGTAAGTCCATCTGTGTCTAGCAGGAAATCTGATAGGGTTGTCAGTACATAAGAGGACCCAGAGGACCAAGCAAATAGACCGAGCTTCAACCCAGCCAAGCAGATGTCCACAACAGGAGTTCTACTGTTGTCTGCTTTCCCAGAGGGAACTGAGGGGCCCCTCTGTAGGATGGGCACTATGGGACTTTCAAACACCACAGAGCATCATGGAAAACCCAGACCCCTGGGTCCATCCCCCCCTCTAATCTCATCTCCCACTATTTGACCCTCATTCAATCCTATTTCTATCCCTTCCTCAAACAGGCCAAGCTTATTCCCACCTCAGGGCCTTTGCACTTGCTGTGACCTCTGCCAAAAATGCTGTTCCTCCTGCTTAGAAGATGCTTTCTCCAGATCTTCATGAGCTTCCTTCTCCTTGTCACCAGGTCTCAGATCACAGCCCTCTCCTCCAGGAGGCCTTTCCTGACCCCTCCATCTAAATTAGTACCCTCAATCCATTCTTCTCTATCACATCTTCCTGCTTTACTTCCTTTGTGGTGCTTAACACTCTCTGAAATAATCTTGTTCATTGTTTGCTTATGTGCCTAGAAAAGTGCTTGGCGAATGGTTGACTCTCAATGAATATGTGCTGAATGAATGAACCAGTAAATACATAAATAAACGAATGGGAAATCTTGCAAACTTTTTTGTAATGAGGATCCAGGAACCTATATTTAAAAGTAACCCCTCCTTTCTGTTAACAAACGCAGAGAGCGCAAGAAGTAACACTGTGGTTGGTAACGACTTAACAACCAGCCGGCAGTTATATGCACACACATTGCTGGGCATGTTTCCAAAGCTAAAAAGGCACTAATTGCTTTTCTATAAGGAGGTAGAAATGCAGTCCCTCTGTGTCCTTTAGTCTTGATGGTCTGCATTATCATATCTGTTACCCTGTTAATTGTTCCTGTCTCGCACAGCCGGTGTGGGCCTCATTCTGCCCGTGTCTGGGATGGTGACAGGTTCCTATGCAGGGAAGAGAGGGACCGGGGGAGTGTGTGTGCTTGTGTCCATGCATGTGTGTGTCCACGTGTGTGTCAAAGCAGCGACACTTGGGAAGGGTTAACTCACCGTCAGGTTGCGCTCGGGGCCCCACGGCTGGCCCAGGAACAGGAGGGGTGGGCCTGGAAGGTGGAGTGGGCTTGGCTTACATTGGCTGCCTCTTCCAAGTCAGGAGTGCAAACGCCTCGCTGGACCGAGTGCAGAGAACTCAAGTCTCCTTTAGGAATGGCTGGAAAAGCCCACACCTGGAGAACCCTCCCTCCCTGCCCCTCCACCGCAGGTCGCATCTGGGAGACGCTCCGGTCATTAGAGGAATGAGTGACAGTGAGCAATTCACCAGCTCGCCAGCACTGGGTGGAGAGCAGCAGGCAAGAATGGATGTGGGGGACAGCCTTCTCGTGAATGGAAGCGACATCCCTCCTCCCTGCGAGCTGGGCATCGAAAATGAGACGCTTTTCTGCTTCTTGGATCAGCCCCATCCGTCCAAAGGTAGGCAGCAGAGACTGTCATTTTAATTCAGAAAACTAGTAAGTTGAGGGAGAAATCAGCAAAGGCAAGGCTGCTAGAGAAAATATAACCACGTCTTCATGAGACCAGGCTGGATAGAGTCATCTGTTCAGAAGTTTGGATAAGAGATCAGAAAGCAGAACTGAGTCAAATATTCACAGTGTTCGCCCGGGGAGCATGGGGATTAACGTCCAGGACTTGGGGGAACAAAAGCAGTGGGAGGAGGCGCTGAAGTGTAGCAAGAAGGCACCACAAGCAAGTGCGGAATCCCCAACTTACCAGCAGTGCAGAAAAGGTGCTGTCACAGTCTAGCTGTCGCCTTTTCTCGGGGCAAATCCGGCATGAAGAAGTGGTTCGATAATGCTTAGCAGCTAGGAAAGAAACAATCACTACTCACTGGAGCAGCTTTGTTCTTAAGAAAAAGTGGTTCCCCGAGTGATCCTTTAACAAACCCACCTCTGAGAAGCAATGGAATCACTCTGCTCCCCTCAGTTTGTTTCTGCAGAATATTGTCAGTTTGGGAACAGTTGGGTTCAATGATTACACCTCTGTGTGTGTGGGGGGGGGGGATCAGGAGGAAATAACCGTTGGCTTCATGTGCTAAGGTTTTAACATTCTGCTCTCGTAACTTCCATCTCTCCGTCTTCTGCCTGTTACTCTTTGCAGAGTGGCAGCCAGCTGTGCAGATTCTCTTGTATTCCTTGATATTCCTGCTCAGCGTGCTGGGGAACACGCTGGTGATCACGGTGCTGATTCGAAACAAGAGGATGAGGACTGTCACCAACATCTTCCTGCTGTCCCTGGCCGTCAGCGACCTCATGCTCTGCCTCTTCTGCATGCCTTTCAACCTCATCCCCAACCTGCTCAAGGATTTCATCTTCGGCAGCGCTGTCTGCAAGACCACTGCCTACTTCATGGGTGAGTTGCTGCGGGTGGCTATATCTGCAGCTCGCCCCAGACCCCACTCGGCCCCAGACCTCCCCAAGCCCCTGGTAGCCTCAGCGGAGGGGCCCTGCTGAGTGTGAAAGACAAGACATCTGGCTGTGCAAGGCCACGTGCGAGGACATGGGTGCGGGATTTAGGGTAGTTCAATCCCCGTAACTCCCCAGAAGTTCGTCCCAGTCATACGTTTCAGAGGTCTGTTTCTCAGAGTGGAATAAGTCGATGAGAAACCACAGAAGAGGTTTGTTTTGCTGGTTTCTGGTAGAAAGAGAGATACAAGCTGCTTTGTCACTTTCTGGAAGCTGTTGATTGACCCAACCTGAGTCATGGCTTTTGGGGTTGCGAGGGAGGTAGAGAGGGGCTCTTTGTGTTGTTGCTTAAACAGGGGCTGTTTGAAAGCCGCTGTTATCACAGCTCTAGACTCCCTGGTCAGGACTCGCTTCCCAGTCCGTTCCCCCAGAGAGCGGCCTCTGCTCCTACATGGGAGCTGAATTTGCTCACAAGGGCTGTGGGGTCACTAAGTTGACCCCGATTAACTGAGATATGTGACTCTCTGCCTATGCCAATCAAAATGATGATGATGATGAATCACAAGAACTAATATTTTTAGAACATTTTTTGCACCTGATGTTATGCTAAGTACTTTTACTTCTGTGATCTTATTTTATAGACCAAACATGCTAAGTACAGTTATTTTTCACTGTCTCCCTGAGGAGGGAACAGGGGCACAGAGAGGTTCATAATGTGCCCAAGGACACACAGGTGGTAAGCCACAGAGCTGGGACTTGAACCCAGATCAGTAGGCGCCACAGGGTAAGTGAGCACACTGCCTCCCTGCCAGCTGCCTGGCCCCCCTGAGCTGCGCACACACGTCTCTGGGTCCCTTGTCTGCACAATTGCCTTGGACCCTGATGTTCTGAAAACGAATTGGGAGGAGGAGGAGAGGAGGAAAATGGGAGGGAGCTGGTTTTTGTTCTGACAGAAGCCTTGCAAAATACGCAGAACCGAGTTGGGCTGGGGCAGTCTTCAGTGACCAGAAAGCTCAAAGAGCCGTTATTTCTCCCAGTTGAGGAAGCAGGATCCGGCACTAACAAAATGATGATGAATTCCTGGCCTGCGTGCCACGGACAAGTAACCCGGAAAGTGTCACTCTGTGTCCGAGTCCTCGAAAATAAAGATAGATTACAAAGGAAAAAGATCACTGTTAAACAATGAAGCAATAATAACAACTAGCATTTCATAGCACTGTAGGCTTTAAGGGCGGTCAGTATATACCTTACAATAATATTATTTCAGAATCTTAAGCCAGAATATGTGAAAGGAAATTTAAAATGTGTTAAATGCCATAAAATGGTTAATTTTATGTTATGTGAATTTCACCTCAATAAAACATGTGTGTAAAAACAGCTGAAATAAAAAGCAAGATAATTCTGAAAGTGCTTACAATAGTGTAATGGTTTTGTTGAATTTCTGATTTCAGTGATTTCAATTCTTCCCTTAATTCTGAATTCTCTTCAAGCTACTGCTAACAGTTAACATTCGTTCAATTCCTGCTATGTAGTCAAAAGATGGAGTGCTCGCCTGGGGGTGGGTCTGTAGTCACTGTGGACCCATTGTACACACGTGACTCTGAGGACTTCGGGCTACACGCTCTAATCTAAATGTCATCGCCTTCTTAGGTCCAGGAACCACCGCAAAGCCTGTCTCCAAACGCAAGTTTTTATTTTATGGTTTGAGGATTGCAGTTTTATTTAGTTTCTAAGAAAAACTATGGCTATTCTCCCTAGGAAACGAACACTTTTATACATAGTCTCAGGTCATTTATGTCCATAAAAGGCCCCAGGCTAAGAACTTCTGCTCCCAAACTCAGATGAAGCCTTAGGCTTAAAATGTCATTGTAAAATATAATCAGAGAATTGACAGACTTCATGGGTGAAGAATTAAAGGGAATTGTAAGGGGATAAGACATTAGAATAAGTACAAAAATAAAAAACACAAAAAGTAAGGAAAATTAAGCTTTTTTTTTTACTATACCTCGGTACATCACTTTAAATGAGATGTTTTGATGTCTTCTGTATTGATGATTCATACTCATTCTACAAAATCAGAAATGCAAGAAGAATAAGAAGGAAGAAACTAGTCCTCATCCAGAGAAACCTTTAGCTATAGGATGGAGTATTTCTTCTTCATCCTATTTTATTATGGGTTTTCATCAACAAACTACATTTTGAAATTTAGAATGTTTCACTCTTACAGTCTGTACTAGATATTTTTAGAAAGAGTTTTAATGCCCTTAGCTCAGACCCCAGTGACCTCTTGGAGTCACAGTCCTTGAGAATGTGGGTGATAAGGTCAACTTAACTATGCAGGTCGTGCCCAACATTAGCGCTTTTCTGTGGGTTACTCCAAAGTCTCCTACGTGGGCTAGAAACATGCTTAATGGGCCTAGTTATTAATTAATGAGCAATGAGCACAGTCAGCCTAAGAAGAGGTTAGGTTGTAATCAAAGTCCAATATACTTATCTGAAAATTGGCAATAAGATGTATTTGCAAATACATTTCTTTAACTGCTTCCTTAAATCCTTTTTTGGAACAAAGCTGGAAATAAATCATTTTTTAAAAAAATATACATATATGAGATTGCCTTAGCCTCTGAGCAATTTCCTTTGATATCAAACGCGTGTAGATCAGATATGCTTAAGCTAATATGCAAATAAACTTTGGATTTCAGACCCGACAAAACCGACCTCTTTGTTCCTCCCCAGGCACCTCTGTGAGTGTATCCACTTTCAATCTGGTCGCCATATCGCTGGAGAGATACGGTGCGATTTGCAAACCCTTGCAGTCGCGGGTCTGGCAGACGAAATCCCATGCTTTGAAGGTGATCGCCGCTACCTGGTGCCTCTCCTTTGCCATCATGACTCCATATCCAATTTATAGCAACTTGGTGCCTTTTACCAAAAATAACAACCAGACTGCGAACATGTGCCGCTTTCTGCTGCCAAGTGATGTTATGCAGCAGTTCTGGTAAGGTTACCTCGTGTTCGTTTGTTTGATATAGCTTGACATGATTTTGAAGTTTTTATAAAATCTCAAATGTATTGTCCAGAGTGGCTGGGGGGTCTGTTTCCTGAAAACATTTGGAGAAGGATCAGTCTAAGCTCTTTCTAGGACAATAGTGATAACAGACTCCTAGAGTGCTTGTTTTCAATGCTATATGTATGTTCACTCAATGAATCCTCTCAAAACGTAAGTGCTGTTATTGTCCCCATTTTACAGATGAGGAAACCGGGACGCGGAGAGGTTAAGTAAATCGTTCAAAGTCACGAACCGAGAAGAGATAGAGCCTCTGTGTTTCCTGATGATGTAGTGCAGGTTAGGGCCAAGTGATTTGGGGGCTATGACTCTCCAAGAATTGAAGATAGAGTGAGGATGAGTCCTAGACCCCATGTGGTTTTTTGTAGAGCTGCAGCGATGATACTTGCACAGCGCACTTGACTGGAGATAAAAAGGCCAGATTCTAACACCTGTTTCTTTGCTGGGTAGTGGTAGACAAGTTCACTTAAGCTCTCTAAGGTAGAGTTCTTTATCTATACAAGGGTTTTAATACAATAGATATTTTTAATCTGCCTCACCAGGTGGCTTAAGATTCAAATGAGAGTGTGTGTATAAAAATGTCATTAAATATCTTTTAAAAGGCTGTACAAATGCAGGGTATTATGTTTACCAATTTGAAGCATGTTTTATAAGCAGGGAGCTAGACATTGAAAAATGCTCAGAACTGAGATAGTCTGCTTTCTTTGCCTTACCTTTTCTTTTTCTCTCATTTCAACCCTGTAACACACACACACACACACACACACACACACACACACACACACAGAATTATGTTGCAAGTGAGAGGAACTTGAAAAGGAATCTTATCAAAACATGTCCAATCAAAATGAGAAATGGCCCAGCCACCTTGAGCCTCTGACAATTTTATGGCCTCATTGCGTACACATCCAGGCTACAAAGTGACTTAGGGGCCAGTCTCATGAAAGAGGAGGCTGTGATGGTTCAGGACTCCGATCTGTTTAGAGAACGCATAGTTCTGCCCCACCAGGCACCGGAGTGAGCGTGCCCCTTGCCAGTGCGTCACAGGCAGCCGGAATGCCAGGCTGGGCAACACCAAGGAGGCTTGCCATGGTTTCTGCCTGTGCTTTTGATTAATCTGTTTTCACAAAGTCAACAAGTGGCATATTGATATACTTAACAACACAGGTTCTAGAATCATGTCACCTGGGTTTGAATCCCACCTTTGCCACTAGCTGTGTGACTTGAGACAAATTATTTACATCTCTTTAAGTCTCAGTTTTCTTATCTGTAAAGTAGACATTATGGTAACAGCCCCTACCTCACAGGTTATTAAGGGAGTTTAATGTAGTAATATCTATATAAAATGCTTACCCTGGCCCTGGCCAGTTTTGCTCAGCCGTTAGAGCATCAGCCCACAGACCAGAGTCCCGGGTTCGGTTCCCACTAAGGGCATGTACCTTGGTTGTGGTTTGTCCCCAACCCTGGTTGGGGTTATGTGGGTGGCAACCATTCGATGTGTCTCTCTCACATCAATGTTTCTCTCTCTCTCTCCCTTGCTCTCTCCCTCCCATTCTATCTGAAGATAAATGCGAAAATGTTCTCGGGTGAGGATAAAAAAATGCTTACCCTGGTGTATAACACATTTAATAAGTCTTCAGTGAATGTAAGCTCTTGTTTCTGTGGGGTTCTTTTTTTTTTTTTTTGAGTAACAGCTTTATTAAGATAAAGTTCACATATTCTTATTTTTAAGCTCTCATTAGTTGTATATGTAGACTTGTTTCAGGCACAGAATCATACCAAACTCGTCCTTCATAAGAGACTTCATCTGAGAGAAAAAAAAAGAAAGAAAAGAAGTAAATAACTTCTAATTGTTGAACCTCCAGACATGGAATTTCCAAGGACATTAAATGCTAGTAATTACTGTGCTTGCTCAGACCAGTTTGAATGGAGATGAACCCTATTTATTCCATCCCATCTGAGTTTGAAATACTGAATAGCTGATTATTGGATTTCTTTTTATTTTATTAGGCACACGTTCCTGTTACTCATCCTCTTTCTTATTCCTGGAATCGTGATGATGGTGGCATATGGATTAATCTCTCTGGAACTTTACCAAGGAATAAAATTTGATGCTAGCCAGAAGAAGTCTGTGAGAGGTAACTATCTTTTCACTGTATGTTTATGCCAAAGATCAAACAACTTGTTTTCTGTAACTAGATACACCCACAGTATATTGGAGATTTTTAAAAATATTATCAGACTGTGTCATGATTTCCTCATCTGTGCGATGGAGTAATCATTCCTTTCAAAAAGCTGCCGAGTAGGATAAAATGAGATGATACACACAGACCCCCGTTGGAAGGTGAGGGCCTATGTGTACCAGACTTTCTGTATTGTTGTGTTCAAAGGGACCCGCTTCAGCAACTGAAGCTAATTGCAACTCCAGTCCCTGGTCTGTCTCCCCCCTTCACTGTCACATTGCAGCTGTCACAAGGGCTCACCCCATCCCCAATCATCACAATCCACTATCCACAAAGTTTACCCCAACACCTCTGTTGACATAACTTTTTCCCTTTCTCACCCCATCTCTTCACCTGGTTCTTTATCAGGTACACAACTTAGTCCCTGCAGCTTCGTTGGTTTCTGTCCATTTTTGCTCAGTATCTCATCCTCATAGTCTGGAGCTTACCGAGCAAGCAGGAACCTGTTCCCCGGGGAGCCAGGGAAGAGAGGAAAAGCGTGTGAATATGCATGCTTTAATCATTTTTAATCCTTATAATCCACATATATACAGCGTTGTTTTATTTTTATATAGGATGTATGTCATAGAGCATACGTTACTTATTAGTTTCAGTAGCTTTTCGTTTGCAGGAAAAAGTAGCATAGGTCAGTGCTTAGCCTATGGCAGGCGGAGGCTGCCTGCCAACCCAGTCCGGGTTGGATCGAACCCCTTGCTGAGGGGGTGGCGCCCCGTGCCTTCTGTGTGGCACGGCCCGTCCTGAACAGTAAGCGATGTCGCTTGCCCTCCCAGAAAGGAAGCCGAGCACCGGCAGCGGCAGCGGCAGGTACGAGGACAGCGACGGGTGTTACCTGCAGAGGTCCCGGCACCCACGGCGGCTGGAGCTCCAGCGGCTGTCCAGCGGCGGCGGCGGCGGCGGGGCCGGCCGCATCCGGAGCAGCAGCTCCGCGGCCAACCTGATGGCCAAGAAGCGGGTGATCCGCATGCTCATGGTCATCGTGGTCCTCTTCTTCCTGTGCTGGATGCCCATCTTCAGCGCCAACGCCTGGCGGGCCTACGACACGGCCTCCGCCGAGCGCCAGCTCTCGGGGACCCCCATTTCCTTCATCCTCCTGCTCTCCTACACCTCCTCCTGCGTCAACCCCATCATCTACTGCTTCATGAACAGACGCTTCCGCCTGGGCTTCATGGCCACCTTCCCCTGCTGCCCGCACCCTGGGCCCGCGGGCGCGAGAGCAGAGGCCGGGGAGGAGGAGGAGGGCAGGACGACCGGGGCCTCTCTGTCCAGGTACTCCTACAGCCACATGGGCGCCCCGGCCCCGGCCCCCTGAGCTGCCGGCCCTGGGGCAGAAGGAAGGAGGGGGCTGAGGGAGGACAAGAGAAGAAAGCGGGAGGAAATAAGGAGCAAAGTGAGGGAGAAGAAGGCTCAGTTCCCAGCGGGAACTATTGTCTGCTGGTCGTCCTTCACGCGGGTCCCAGGAGGGCTGCCGGGGTGCGCCCCGACTTGGTTCAAGGCAGTCAGTTCAAGGCAGGACATTTTCAATAACATCCACGGTCAGAAACACCTTATCAGGCCAGTAACTGGAGTCCAGCAGGGTTCAAGCTGCAGATGGAATGGCCAAGCACATACTCCACTGGGCATGTGAGCCCTACTGTGCTTTAGAAGGGCCTGGATTGTCCAGGGTGGGCTTGCACTCCAGATGACACACTTCTGCACTCTGCTGCTGCCCATGCGGTGTTGTGGCAGCTGCCTTGCCCCTGGGGAGTCTGTCACTCAGGTAGTCGGCAGTCGCCCCCTCATTGTGACCACAAAAAGGAAGAGGAGGAAAGCCCTCTCCTGGCGATTTTCTGTAGTAAGAGAGTAGCTTGACTTTTTCTTCTTGAGGTTGGTCAAGGACATGCAGAGACATGTGTATGTCATCATCAGAATAGCATAAGAAACTGTCTCAAAGATGGAATGTGGAATTTATATTTCCAAAATAACAAAATAGCTGGAGCACATGGGACCCTACTCTAAGGAATATTAAGTGCCAGAAGGTGCACAGAAATTGTTTTTCTACTTCGATGATATATATCGCTTAACTCCGCATTTGTATGGTGATATTAAACCCCATGGCTTCTTTGCCTCAAATTAAGTTTTCATACTCATCTGGCACTTCCTGTTTTCCAGAAAAACCTCCAGGTGCAAAGGAGAATTGTAACTTACACGTACCCGGTCAGGGGTGGAAAAACTAGTAGTCGGGCCCAGAATGAAAATGGGCATACTTGGACTCAATGAACAAAATAGCTTTTGAATGTCAAAGCTGTCTATGCCTTTAAATACAATCTATGTATTTGCTAATACTTGTATTGGCTTTATGTAGATGTGTAAACCAAACATACATGTTATTTATATATAAGTATATTCTTTGATGTGTTTTCAAAAAAGAAAAGCGAATGGATGTTGGAATCCAGCAAGTGTTATCATTTCACACTTCTTTACATCAGTTGGAGTTTCCTGTCAACTTCTTGTCTTTGCAAAATGCGTGTTGAAATCTCTCCCCTCCAACCTACAAATCTCAAAAAATAAGATGTGAGCTTATTATACATTTATACATTTAGATAATGAGACATGCGTTTCTAGCCTAGAATGTATCAATCCAGTCTAGCAGTACTTCTTTCTTTTTGGGGGGAGTTGGGGATCTGCTTAAATACACGAACACAGACATTTTTGACTAAAACAAGTTTACATGCTAGTGTAGGAAATAAACCAAAACACCAAGTAAACTGTAGCTTCCATGTTTCCAAGCATCTAACAAGTGAGCTTTTCTCTTTCTTGTTTTCATGGGACAATGAGACCATGACCATGCATTGATCCAGGTCTGACACTCTTCAGAGCACATGAGGGCCAGTGGCTTCAATTTTTTAAAAAAAATTCAATGTGGAAGAGAGAAAGGGGAAGAAGAATGGCAAGAAGTGATAATGAATGGGGAAGGGACATTGTATAATTTAAGAAGATATGAATGTCACCATTTGTTTTGGGAGCTGGGAGGATGGTCACATACTAACGGAAAGACATTTGAGGACATGTCTATTTATTACAGAAGAATTTTCAAGTCAGAGGTTCGTTTTTCTAGTCCTCTGACTGCAGTATAATGTTAATATTTATAACCAGTCATCTCAAAAATTTCAAAGTAAAAAGTCAACAACTCAAATGCGCACAGTGAAAATGGTAATGATAAAAGGCATAAGAAATTGAAAATGTCTTCAATATTTGAGTAGATCCTACAAAATCTACAATTTCTCTGCTTGAAGAAGAAGCCGTCCCCTCTGACAGTGTTAGCGTATAAATGAAGATAAATTAGGCCTCTACTCTTGGGAACCTCTGGAAGTTCCAAAGGTATAATAATCTAAAGATAGATTGCCAAACTTAGCAAATAAAAACACGAGATGTCTGGTTAAATTCTGATTTCAGATAAACAACAGATTTTTTTTGGTATGAGTACTCATGTTTCATGCACTAAATACATTCCTATAAAATAATTTTTGACTCACATACAACTATAAACAAGATTTTCCAGATATAGACCAATAAAATACCTCTCTTCACTAAATTTCTTGGAAGGTCTTTCACATAATGGAAGTTTTATTTAAAAAAAAAAAAAAAAGAAGAAGAAAAATGCTATTAACTTTCAGAATCTGTGCCTGACCTTTGGGAATGTTAGTATCAACAGGAAGATTTTACTCTTAAAAAATTTTTTTTTTAAATATAAATCTATTCTAGTATTTTGTTGAGTCAACTGCCTTTATTTCATGCCAAAGTGTATTACCAATTTGAATTTGAAATCAAGTGACCAGTCGTTAGGAAAATAGCCACCAGGTTTCTGGTCTTTTCTAGTGTCTTCCGGTAACTCCCACTCACCAGCAGGTGGTAAGTTACAGCTTGAGTGTACCTTCGAGCTTTTTAACCATGTGTCCCAGTGGCTTCTCGTCGCAGTTACTGAGGAAATCTCTCACTGTACACTTGTAGTGATGAACGCACAGTGCATGCATCTATATGGCTGTCTACGCGTTTGTGTATGTTTAACGGGTGTCCCCTCCAGTCAGTTACAATGTAATCTTCACGAGGACAGTGATAATAGCTGTTAAACCTCCCCCGTGTTCCCTCCAGTGTTTTGCCCAGTACTCTGCACACCGTGAGTGCTCAATAAACCTTGTGCTGGACCTCTGCTCTGCCTCCTGTGCTTTTGGGGGACCCTCTTCCCATCCATAGTGGTGATTCTCAGCATGGAGGTCACATTCTTGGGGGAGGGGACAGTATCAGAATTTCTAGAGGGCTTTTTTCAACTTCCTTTGTATCCCCCCCGCAAGATTCGGCAGTGTGAGCCCTGGCGCCGGCTCTCCCTCCCCGTGTGTGTGTGTGTGTGTAAAGTGTTGGGGAAAAGGACAAATTCTGTATGATTCCACTCAGTCAAAATATCAGAAGTCATCAAAATCATCAAAACAAAGTGGAAAGGTGGTTTCTAAGGTCGGAGGTGGGAGGAAGAGGAAGTAGTATTTAGTGAGCGCAGAGTTTCAGTATGCAAGATGAAAAAATTCTAGAGACCTGTTGCACAACAGTGTGAGGATACTTAACACGACTGGCCTATACACTTAACATTGGCGAACATGGTCATTTTTATATTATGTTTTTTATCACAATAAAAAGGGGGGTGCTCGGGTGGGAACCACTGGTCTATAGTACCCCTCTGCTGTGCTCCTCCCTGCCCTCTTTCCCTTTGCCACAGTAAAACACCATGACCACCTCCCCGGTCCATGCTCAAGTACCCAATCACTCAGGAGTGCTGGTAAATATCACCGAAGCCCACGTGACCCGTGGCTGTTCCCGTCCTTCGCTGCCCTGTAGGACCCCTCCACCAGTCGGGGAGGTGTCTTTGCTTCCTTGGATGGGACATCTCTGGCTCCTTTGGCTTGCTGGCCACCCTCGAGTGGAACATAGATTCCAGATGTCCTAAACCAGCTTCCACAGCTGGAGGCCAGTCCCACAAGTCCACACCGCACCCTCGCTCTTAGAAGCCCAGCCTGGGAGGACTCACAGGTCCTCCTGCTTGCCCAGGAAGAGAGGTCAGACAGGTATAAATTGCTCAGCACCTGGCATTGGTCATAGCACATAGCAGGGACTCAGTAAGTGTTTGGGGACAAGTGAGGGAATGCAGGAAGACATGTGGATGGAGCTGCTCCTGAAGGCCAGGCCTTCCTGGTCCCTTTGGGGAGGGTACGCCATCCTAACCAGAGGCATCTTTCGTTGAATGTGCAGTGGTGCCGGACAAAGGGGTGCTGACAGGGCATCCCCATTCTGTTTCTGGTCACTGACCACAGACATCTCCTCTGAGGGGAACGCGGATATACTCTGGACTGAAAGCCCAGAACTCTGTGTCCCAGCCTTAGCCTTGTCACTAACTTGCTGTGTGGCTCCAGGCACGTCATACACCCTCTCTGGGTATCTCTTTCTTTATGCAAAATGAGGGGGTTTTGCTTCATCTCTGATACTGTGTGGTCAGTGGGTCAGAATTTACTCTGTCCCTTGATTATTCCAACATCCCCCTTAATTCCATTGGCTTCCCATCAACGTTGCCATCAGAGAAGCCCCCTGACAGCCAAGCACAGCGCCCTCTCTGAGGACTTGCCTTCCAGGACAGCCCCGGGAGGAGGCGGCCCGTGTGCGAAAAGCGAGCGCCCAGGAGACACCTGACGACATCAGAACCTCGGGTCACAGCCACCCAGAGCGACCTCGGGGGGCTGGTCTCCGGAACACCAGCTGCTCTCCTGTGGAAATGTAGGCAGCAACATTCACTCCCACCTTACATTTGGTCTAGGTGAGAGGTATCCACATTTATCAAAGCCTGTTTGTGTGCTGTGCCAGGCACCAGTGACAGCAGGTGACGAGAAACCCATAGAGGGGATGAATGAACGTCGGCTCTGTGTGGTTTCTGATGTAATTCTCCAAGCGCAGCATCATTTCCACATCTCACAGGTAAGGAAATTAAGGCTCAGAGAGCTGGTACTGTGCCCAAGGTCAGGTAGCTGGTAAATGACAGAGACAGGATCGGGCCCCATTCTAATGCCAGCAGGCTGCCGTCAGGGTCAGGTGGCGTTTAGTAGTCTAAGTAATCAATGGCGATGTCCCTTCCTACAGCGCTTCACAGCCCCTCGTCCTTGTGCTGCAGTGACCCCAAGGAAGAGAAATCCGCCACTGTCCCCTCCACCCCCCTCGGAGGATCTCAGGGCTGGTTTTCTGCTCTTGTGCCCTCCATGCTCCGATCTCAGTGTTTATTTTTAGAAGGAAGATAACAAACACTTTGCCACCTCACTGGGAAGCTAAGAGATCCTATCAGTCAACAAGCTTTCACCTCTTTGGCAAATTGTCGGCATTATTAAGGTGGATCTATTTCTTCCAGAATCATCAGAGAGGAGACACGTACAGGCCACCTGTGCATCGGCCTGAGGTGCACGGCTCCCTGGTCTGCCCTTCCACCTGTTACCTTTCCATCAAGTCCCCCTTCCCCATGAGATGTGCAGA